GTAGAACGATTGTAAGTTGTTAGCTCCTCATCAGTCCTGTGTTGGTTAGGAATGGCTTTTATTTTTGCATGTCTACAAAACAACGAATATAGAGCAAATGTTCCACCTGAAAGACAAATTGGGTGAAAGTGATTCTAACAGTACCTCATGAACATCAGAAAAAAAAATGCATTATCAACTTTTAAAGATAAGACATATAGTAGTGTTAGTATCATTGGAGTGGACTTTAATAAAAAAGAAAATAATTATTCAAGCCTACTGCATCCAGTGATGCATTAAAAAGCATTTTCCTTATCAAAATGGTTCCTCAGATTAAATTATAACATAACCACCTCATTCACTGATATTAGCTCACCTTGACTATTGTCATTTGCTTTACATACAACAAACACATACTTGAGGAGCGGGATAAAAGTAAGGAAGTATATAATCAATGAAAGAGCTCCAACAACATCCTCTGGATCTTTAATTTTACCAGGAAATGTATTGTAGATAACATATAAGGGAGAAGTGCCTAAGTCACCATAAACCACTCCAAGACTTTGGAAAGTAAGCCGCAGAAGCAATATTGTGAAGGATTTCTATAGAAATTGAAACCGTATCAGACTCTACAACTTATCTAAATAACAAAAGAACTATAATATCGTCAAAATCCATTTATTTAATGAAAATTGGGTTTCATAACACTATATTGCATTTATTTCATCTCAGACCACTTGAAATGCATATCAGACTGATAGAGTGATAGTACTACTAACTTAATGCAAGCCTGAAGCCAAATTATACCCTAATATCCAAATGGCTAAAAGAGGCAACGAAATATTTAAAGAACTCCATGCCCTTTGGAAATTTCAATATGATGCAAAGGAAGGGCTTTTAAATCAGTTCCCCTAATAAGCTAATGTTTCATTAACATGAATCAAGAGCTACTTTATTTCAATTAATTGCAAAAGAAATCTTTTATCTAGAAAAGAAAGAAATAAAGAGAGAGGAGCTCAAAATAGAAAATAACAACTGAAGCATATTTTCTCTATGTACATATTTCTTTTGGAGAAGCTTGTGGAGAAGCTTTCTTTCCAACCGCAAGTTGAAGGTTCCCAAGGTGTTTGCAACCACTTGTGTCCTTCCTACTGCAGCAATGAACCTAAAGAGGGACAAAGCCATGTGATGGATGAGAATGCCAAGAACTGTCGGAAGAACCTAGAGATTAAAAGAAAAAGAGGTGTCTATTTCAAGAAACTACGAAAACTATAATGTCATTAGATGAAGTTATCACTAAAATAACAAGATGATCATGATCAGCAGAAAAAAAGAATTGCTTCAATATTGCTTAATATGCACTAAGTTTTGGCACACTTGCAACTATGTTGATGGAAAAGAAAAATGGATGAAAAGAAAAAAAATGAAAAATATAGGTGAAAGAAAAAGTTACCTAATAAAAAATAACTGTTTAAACGAGTAGGAAACTCACCCTTAGATCATAATCAAGCTTTCTAGCAAGTGCCAATAACAATTTGTTTTTCCAGTTTTTAGAGAACCCAGAAATAGGGTTATCTTGAAAATTTTCAATCAAATATTAATCCGTATATAGTTCTTAAAAAATCAAAACAAAACTATCCATTTCATCAAATGAAACACTTCAGCTTTATTGATTGGAACTAATGAATACTTTCTGTGCAGGCAATTGTGAATGAAAACAAATTTTCATCATTAAAAGAATATATATTTATTACAAAAGTTACTGTCTGATTGAGGATAGGTAGTGAGATTTGGATTGTCCATTAGTACTTTAATATCCAAAGAGTGGAAAAATATGTGAGAATTTCATTGAATTGCTTTAAGGGTTTGATTATGCCGCTAACTCTTTAAGTATCTGAATTTTTCTCTTCTCAGATGGTGCAAGCTAAACCAATCCAAGAATGCTCTATTGTTCATGAAAATAATTAAAAACATGGAAACAAAATTTTAAAAGTGAACCAATTAAAAAGAGTTCTATTTTCAAAAATAGTAAAATCTGAAAAACAAAGATTTTCCTGTTTTGGATAAACTTTTTTCTTTTACTTTTAAAAATGAAAAATATAAAAAAAATTTAAAAATTAATAAATCCAAAAAAATAGCATGCAAAGCAAAATAAAAAGAATGTACCAAACATGCAAAGAAAGAAAAAAAAAGTAAAGAAAAATTGCTTATGAGAATTCAATCTCAGATAAGCCATTGCCAAAAACCCCGAAAATTCATCTTGCTCTTATAGTTGGAAGAGTTTGGTCTTAATATGCTTAACATGTAAACATGAAAAATCTCATAATCAAAATCCTCAAAGCTTAAAATGAAGTCAATAAAAAAATATAAATTAAATGAACCAAGAAAAAAAAAACAAAAAAAGGAAAGAGAATTTGAATTAAAAAGATTTGTTGATAATAAAAAGTTTTAAGAATTTCAATTCATAAATTCTTCGTTAGATGCTGCGAAATTGACGAAGTATTGGTTTGGTATCGTAACCCACTATCAGTCTTCATTTTCATCTCCCATCTCTCTATTCCATTCTCTTCTTTTATTTTCTTAACTAACGTTATGTTTGGATAAATATTAATTAAGGAAAGAAAAAGAAAGGAAAAGAATGGAAAAGAAAATTTTTTAAAGGAAGAAAATGATATAGTAACCTTTTTTTGAATAATTAAAATTAATAAAAGAAAAAAATTTTAATAACCATTGTTTAGATAAAAAGTGAAAAAAAATAATTAATTATAATAATTTTTTACAATTATAACATTTCATTGCTTGTGATTTTAGAGTACTCTTGAACTATAATATGTTTGCTATCTTGTCTGGTCTCACAATTACTGCTATATCAATGATTTTTAATCAAGTGAAATAAGAAGATATTTTACAAACACGCATTAATAAATTTTGAGTTAGTCAGTCATCTCACAAACTTAAAAAATATATATATTCATATTCAACCATTCATCAAAATTAAATCACAAAAAAGTTATAAAAAATTTTTATATTGAAAGAAATATGTGAAACTTACTTGAAAAAGAAAATGATTTTGAAAAAATTATAAGATGATTGTAATCTATTTAAGTTTTTTTATTAAATTTTTAGTATTAATAAAAAAATAAATATAATAGTCCTTTTATAAAAAAAATATTTTTTAACTTTTTTTTCCTAACTTTTTCTCTAAATTGAATATTAAAAAAATTGAATTTACAAAAGAAATAAAAAATTATTTGATTTTCATATTTTTTTTTAAATTAAAATTTATCCAAACAAAAAAAATAATATTTTATTTCTTTCATATTCTTCTACTTTAATTTTCCTTCCTTTCTCTCCTCTCGATCCAAACCCACTGTAACTAGCGATGAGTTTTCTTGAAAAGTTGCTGCTTTACTGTCGTGGACTTTGGCAGGACTCTTCAGACAATACAAAAAGATTTGTAAAGTTTTCTCTTCCATTCTCGCTCTTTCACGGTTTGCATTGTTTAGGTTTATATTTCTTTATGGGTTTCTCCCCTTTTCTCTCTCTTTGAATCCAAAACTCATCAGATTCAACTCCAACTCTCTCCTTCCAACTCGACTCAGCTCAACTTGTCGGTTCAACTCACCTCTCTCAACAGACTACTATTCTTTTCCATTTTCGAATAAGTTTTTTTTTTCTTGCTTTTTCCCTTTTTATTTTGTTTTTTCTCAATCTGAAAACCTATCTGACTTTTGGAAAAATATCTCCCCTCAAACTTTTCCCTTCAATAAGCACTTAGAGAAGCTTTCTTTTCAAAATTACCCTTTATTTATTTATTTATTTTTTACATTGCTTACTTGTCGTTTCAAAAGGTATTGAAGATAAGTTTTTCAGTAAGTTATAAATATAGCTAACATCCAACAAAGGGCGAAGTGGATCAATCTTTTATCAATAAAAACCAACCTACTAATCTTTTTGACAATTCCAATCTCACCTAACACACCACCTACGCCAAAAACCTCCCAACAAAAATCGCGGTGGCAGTTTATCTCACAGCTACAAGCCAAATAATGATTCTCCACCAGCAAATTTAGTAGACCAGTTAATTAGTATTTTTAGCCTACTTCGTTTTTATTGATTTGCCCTTTTTTTTTTCTGCAATGATAAGAGACAATTCATGGAAATGGCTTAATCTTTTTGATTGATTATGGAAAAACGGTACTTCAAAATCATACCAAAGGAATCCTTATTGGATTTCCCGTTTTCCTTTGACGATGGCCTACAACCAACTTCTGCCACGTTCGGGCCAAACTTCCTAGTAGCCAAGGTTTTTCAACGTTGCCCAAAAAGAGGTAAACGGAAATCTCGCCTCATTTTTCTGTTTGTGCATAAGAGAGGAGGTATTTCAATGCTAGACAATGACTGCTAGAGGAAAAAATTATTATCTAACAGTTAACCAAAGGTGCAATTGAGTCTGTGTTGTTTCTCAAAAAATTTCATTGGCTTTTATATTAAGTTTGTGGCTAAAAGCCAACCAAAATGGTTTCTTTGAGAAGAAAATGAAGAAAAGATTATTGCTGTATAAATTGTGTATTGATATTAATATAATCATATTTTATTAATTAAAATATTAAATCATTATATAGCAAAAGTTATATAATACAATGAAATTTTTTCAAATTCTCATTTTTTCTCTTTGTTTCACCAAAACAAAGTAATAATCTTTTTTTCATTTTCTTCTCAAATCCAAACTCATGTACATGTCCAGCAAAAAATATTTTTCAAACCAAATAACAAAGATAATCTCTTAAATCAATTACACAATTTATACAACAAAAAATACTTAAAAGGAGTAATTCAAATCCTCAATCAAATTGAAAAACTTTTAGCTTCTCTTTAATTACTTGACTATCATCCAATTTTACTGTGAAAACAGAGCTCTTACCGACAGTAAAAGCATCCTTCAACAAATAATTTTTTTTGGATTTTTATCAGGGATAATTAAAACTCACGTTCGAGAAATGAGTAAAGCATAAACCATCTTGTCATTCCTAGCGTTATCTTCAAACTTAGAAAAAAAAAACATAAAGTTGAACTCTTTAACTTGATCAAGTAAAACTACAACAACGAAAGAAAGAAAAAAAACCCAAAGGTGGGCACCCATTTGAGAGTTGAATCTGAGGATCCGATTACTTACTCCAAGATCTCGCCATTTTTTTCTTCTTTAAGGTAACTTTTTTTTTTCCTCAAACAATCCAACCCTCCCTTTTTCACATTAAGTAAAGTTCAGTTCTTTCTTGAGTTTTTTTTTTAAATGCAATTTGTTTTGCATTTTATGTTTTGTGTAAGTGGGTGGTTTTAGTTTTGTTTTCTTTGTGCTTTCATTTTCATTTTCTGTATCTCGGGTTTTATGGGCTTAGTTTAGTTTATTTTACTACTTGAAGTTCTGCCTTTTGGGTGGGATCAGATCTGGGTTGTATCTGATTTACTTCTCTGATGGATGGATTTCTATTTTGATGCCAAGAGTTTAGTTTTTCATCTGAATTTTTAGATTTTGATCCATTTTTTTATTTTTGGCAAGTGTTTGGGGTCTAAAATTGGTAGTGTCTAGCATTTTAGCTGATTCTGCTTCTATGGATGTTTAGTTTAATTATAGTGGAGATTAGTGATAGTATAATGGGAACTGAGTTGAATTTGGTCATTTTAGAAAGATATTAATCAAAGGTTAATATAATAATTTTATTATAAAAGACGGCCGAAACTTTGAGGATACCGTAGATAATATATTTTATTTTATTATTTTAAAAATTATTTTATCATATTTATTAATATAAATAATATATTAATAAAAACACAATGAATTCATTAAATTATTAAAAAAAATTAGTGTCATAACATTATATTTTTAATAATAACAAAATTTACTATTAATGGTAGAATTATTAATTATATAATTTATTAATGAATTATGAGAATTTTTTTTGTTAATTTAAAATTAAAATAAAAAATAAATACAAATAAATTAATTATTAAATATTTTATTAGAATAAAAAATTAAATATACTCTTAAATGAATGATAATAACATTTTGAGATTAAAAATTACAATTTTTTTAACCTTTTCTAAAGTAATTCTAATTTTTTTTTGTTGGAAAAAATTTTACAGCAACATGAAATATAAAATTAAAGTAAAAATAAAAGTAGGAAATGATATGGAGAAGAAACGTTGAAGTAAGTTAAAAAAAAAAACCTTGCAATTTTTCTGTTCCTAAATCTTTTAGTTTAGGTCTTTCTTTTATTAAAAAAAGAAAAAAGAAAAAAACCCATTTGATATGTATGGAAAAATTAGAATTTTATTGAGAAAATTACAAATTTAATTTATTTTATATGAAATTTATATGATTGTGATTTAAAATTTATAACAAATCTTTTAATTTTAAGAATTCACAAATAATAATATTTGAGTATAATGAATAAATAAATACTAATGTAATTTTAACATCTTTTAAATTGTAATATGTATATCAAGTAATGAAACCACAAAAAAAATTTTATAATTTTAATTTAGTGATAAATTTAAATATATTTAATATAAGTATATATACAAATGGAGTAAAAGGTGTTTAAAAATTTTGGGAGAAGAGGGGGCGGTCAAAGTTTTTCTTGGCTTTTATTTTTCGTCGTTGTGAGTGGAGGTGTAAATGATACATTAGTACTCGTAAGCTATTCGAATTCGATTCGAAGAAAATTCGAATTCGATTCGATTATTATTTAGTTGAACTCGAATTCGAGTAACTCGATTTATAGATCGAGTCGAATTCGAGTGTTTTTATATCTGGCTCGAGTAACTCATGAGCTTAATTGAGTTTTTATATTTAAATATATTTTTATTATTTTAATTAATAAAATATTTTAAATTCGAGTTCAAGCTCGAACATAAAATAATCGATTTCTTGTCGAGTTACGAATCGAGCTTATTTTTACATATTAATCGAATTTATTCGAGTGAGTTCAAATAGTTTGAATTCGATCACGAATCGAGTTCGAACTTGAAAAATAAAACTCGATCGAATTTAAACCGAATATCGAGTATCGAGTTGTGAGCCGAGCTCGAGCTCGAATTTTTTATTATATCGACTCAACTCGACTCGATTACATCCTTAATCGTGAGATCATTTTTTATCCCGGTTTTAAACTCGCAAGAATAGAGATGTTAAAAGTAGTAAAAAATTTTGAAAATTGATCTGGTGCAACTATATATTTTGATTTAGAAGCATATATGCTTATTATATAATAATAATAATAAATTAAACTAGCATGATAATTTTTCATAACGTGTTAATAAAATTACAATTTCCATGACAAGAATCAACTATATATTTTTTTTCTTCTTCGTACGGTGCACGCCACTTTTTTTTTTTTTTTAAGTACAGGAACTGGGGATAAAATTTTGTCCTTTTATGACCCTATTGTGACCCTATTGTAGATTCTCAGTCAAATCAAACTTTGGGATAGTGACTGGCACTTTTTAATTTCGTAAATTTTATAGGGTAATATACAGGACTGATCATTATTCAGGCCGGAGGGTAAAAACCTTTTTATAAATATTGGGAAAGAAGAGGAAAATTTGCGAACCAGAAAATAGAGGACAATGGCAGAGGTCAAGAGGCAAAAGCATTTCATTCTAGTACATGGAGCATGTCATGGGGCCTGGAGCTGGTACAAGCTCAAACCACGGCTGGAGTCAGCAGGCTACCATGTCACGGCCATCGACCTGGCGGCCTCAGGCATCAATATGAACGCAATCCAGGGTGTTTACTCCATGTATGAATACACTAAACCATTGTTGGAGGTTTTGGCCTCACTGCCTTCTGGTGAAAAGGTTATTCTTGTTGGGCATAGCTTGGGAGGCCTGAATTTGGCCCTGGCTATGGACAAGTTCCCGGAGAAGATTTCAGCTGGTGTGTTCTTGACTGCTTTCATGCCTGACACAGCACATCAGCCATCATTTGTTTTGGAACAGGTACTACCTTTTGTCCCCTTCCTAGGCTCTGTCAAACCAATCCTAGCAAAGTTTTTTCGATAAATTCTTCTTATTTTTGTTGAGATTGCTAGCCCCTTTCAATATAAGGAATAGGCAGACATCAAATTTGTTCGTTTTTCTAGGAAATCTGGAGATTGGCAAATAGCTGCAGAGCTGCAGGGGTGGTGTTATTAGCTATCTTGTTAAGGTGTAATTTTTCTGAATAGTAAACAGAGCATAATGGAGAAGCAAATAACCAAAACTACTTGAAGATTTTATTAATCTAGGATTGAGTTAATTACACATTTTAAATTTAGAAATTATATATAAATTGTATCTAAAAAATAAAATATACAATTTGTATATTGAAATTTCAAATTTTATATTTTGTTAACTCAAATTTTAATCTTACTAATCATATAAATTTACTTATATATGTAACAATTTATAAATGTTTTCTGTGTTCATCATATATATTATCAATTTTTTAATATAAATTAAAAATATATATTTTTATTTTTATAAAATTATTTAAAATTGATCAATTATTATTTGTTGTGTGATATCCACATAAAATTTATAAAATATTTAATATTTATATTTAACAAATGACATAATATAATAAAATTATATTAATTAGATATCATACAAATGAATTAAGTTACTAATTTTAAAATTAAAATTAAAATAATATATTATTTAAAAATTTGAAGACATAAATTATACATTTTATATATATTTGAAATACCAATTAAGATAGCGAAAGTATAATTAACTCTCCAGAATTCTTGCGTTTACTATGTTGCCCTTATTGACTTAAACACGTTCGCGGAAAAGTATAAAGAGCGTATAAGAGGAGATTATAACTTCTGTGTTTTGTTTGAATTTTCTGCCAAGTACTGTGAGAGGACCCCGGCGGAAGCATGGTTGGACACTCAATTCGCTCCATATGGAAGACCTGAACAGTCTTTGATGTCAATGTTTTTTGGGCCCCAGTTCCTAAAATTCAAACTCTATCAGCTATCACCTACTGAGGTATCTGTTTTTCAACCTTTTCGCTCCCTGCCTGTTCAATGTCCCTTATTTGTATAAGCATTTTCATTTCATTACTAAAAGTAAATTAAATAATTGTACACTTTCTGAAGGACCTGGAGCTGGCAAAGGTTATGATCAGACCAGGATCGTTGTTTGTAAGCGATTTGTCGAAGGCGGACAAGTTCTCTAACGAGAGGTACGGATGTGTACCCCGAGTCTATGTTGTTTGCAATGAAGACGAAGGGATACCAGAGAAATTCCAACGGTGGATGATTGAAAATTTTGAGGTTAACGATGTGATGGAGATTAAGGATGCAGATCATATGGCAATGTTCTCAAAGCCACAAGAAGTTTGTAACTGTCTGTCAAAGATAGCACAAAAATATGGCTGATCATGTTAATCAACAAGATTTGTTGATGGGTTATTTAATATGGAGAGTGGATTTTGTTGTTGGGTTGCTTTTATTTTTAGTAACTTGCAATCACTACATATAATGTGAAATAGATTTTGGTTTTGGAATAAAAATCTTCTCTTGGTTGCCATACTTGGAGTTTTGTCAAAACTTGTTCTTCAAGGAATTGACGAGTTTTAATTAATTTGATTTATACAATTACTTTTTGAAGTGAGATTTTGTTAATTGAGATTCAAATTTTAATAATTTTTTTATTTTTATATTGCAATTAAAAAAACCCTGTTCTTCAATATCAAAATTCATTTTGTTCAATAACGAAAAAGGGTACTCCACAATAATTAGATAATAATGATCCAGAATTTGTAAAGGCTTATTCTAAGGATTTTATAATCAAAAGGTCGGGAAAATTTCATTGATAAGAAAAAAGCAAAAGGAAAAAGTACTAGTAATATGTCTAACATTCATATCAATTACATTTCTTTTCAATATTCATGTTCTCATTGATCTTTTGTTTTTCAATCTATTAAATTTTGAATTTAATAATTCCGTAAAAAGTTAAAAGAAGTTTATGAACTAAGGAGGTAAGACATTATGTATAAGGAAAAAAATATGAATTAAATGTTCAATAATAAAATGACATCACAATGAGAGTCTCTCTCATTACACTGTTAAGTTAATCCTTAATCTAATGTTCATGATACTAATATCAAGTAAATAAAAAAATTGAAGCATAGATAATATCATATGAGATGGGAGTCCTTTACATCTTGCTTTCAAATAAACTCTTATTTTTTGTTGTTGTAAATATTAGGTAAATAATAAATTTGAAGCATATATAATATCACATATGTTTGATTTTTTTTTTTTTTGTTTTTGATAGATTATTAGTGTATGGATATTATACACTATTAGTAAATAATATAATAACATCTTATAAAAATTTTAATTTAAAATATATTTTTAAGATTAAATATATTAAATTTTTAAGATTTTAAAATTTTAAAATTAATTTTTGATAAAATGTTATTATGTGATTTATTGATAACGTTATTTTGTTTTAATTTCCTAAAAATCAATGCAATATTAGAAAACGAAATGTTCATATAGTTTAGAAAAAAGAGAAAATTCAACTAACTTTTGCTTCTGCTAGTTGTGGCTGGCGAGAATTGACCATATATGGCAACAATTTATGACAATATGACAAAGATTTTTAACTTTGGAAACATTTAACATACATTAGAGAAAAAGTATCTATCGAAGGGAGCATTACAACCGAAGCCAAAACAATTTCAAACTCAACTAGATAGAGTCAGAAACCTCGCAATTAGAGAAATGTTGTAAGAATTATAGTGTTACGTGATTTGTTAGCAGACAACTGCTGGTAATCAAGTTCGATATATTCTTTGATGGTTTGAAGTATATAAAAGAAAAAGTATGCATTTTCCTCTGCGATACCCGAGAAAACGTGCGAAATATTCCAACGCTGGATGATTCAAATTTTCTTATGAGCGACCCCGCGCACGCGTATATATATATATATTGATTGTAAAAATTTAATTTTGTTTGCATTAATCAAAATGGATTTGAAATTTTAATTATGTTTATTATATACTATTGTTAATTGTTATTTATTTATTAATCATTAAAAAAATAAAAAAAATTTTAACTTTAACAATTAAAATCAAGTTACTATAAAATTTTTCTTTTTTCCATTCTCCAAAGTCTTCAATGCATCAAAAATCCCCCTAACTCTATAGCAAAATTTCATAAAATTTCATAAGCTAAAATCAATAATATCAAATCCTCTTGAATCCATAAAATCGTAAAATCTGAAATTTGAAATTCCATTGGTCCTATAATTAAAACCCTCTATTGCAAAAAAAAAAAAAAAAAACGCCAATGCTATTTTGTTAAAACCCACGCACCCACCAATGTAGCCAAAAAGAAAAGGCAAAACAAAAATCTAATACAAAGGGGAACTCGCAAAAAAATGGTTCAAGCCGAAAACAAAATCTTGAATCCATGGTGTTTGAAATTTAAAAAAAAAAAAAAAACAATTTAAGAAGCATGTTTAGGAAATCGATGAGTGTTTTGAGATTTTTTTATTTCTTAAAAAATTTTTAAGGTCACCAAAATACGAAAAATTTTAAAATTTTCAACGATCGACTGAATTTTTTTGTTACTGAAAGCAGGAAAATTTTGAGTTCGCTCGTGTTGGTTGAGGATTTCGATGGCGCGGTGGCACCATGGCAGTAGTTGACCGGAATTTAGAATTAAGGCAATCGGCTAGGTATTTTTGGGTTTCAGAGAGAGTGTACATGAGAGTAGAGAGGGAGAAAAATAGTAGAAATAAAAAATGATTAAAAAAACAAAAATGGGCCCTTTTAAAGTTGTTTAAAATGACAACGTTTAGGCGACCTTGACCCATGGGTCAACTTGTTAACTTGTGTGCCTATTTGCCAACCATGATCCGTTTCGTTAGTTTTTTTTCATTTTATTTTTTGATTTATTTTAATTTCATTTTTCTCTTTTAATTTGTTTACTTAGTTTTTCTTATTCTTTTTTTTTTGAAAAAATTAAAGAAAAATAATAAATTTTCAGAAGAACTAATATAAAAAGTGTAAAAATATAAAGTAAATAATAATTTTAAGGAAAATTTGACAAAAAAATGATTAAATCTTAGAAAGTAATTATTAAGGAAGTGGTTTAATTTTTTTCTTTACTTTTATAAGTGAAATATTTCTTAAAATTGCAAAAAGTGTTCGGATTATTTAAGGAATCATTTTGCTAAGAATAAAATTATATAAATAATAAACATATAAAAAATAATGGATTGTTTAAATAAATCTTTTGAAATGTAATTAAAAAAAGTGTTGAAAGAGTTTAATTTTCTTTAATTATTACAAATTAAAATATTTTTAGATTTTGGCATAGTGTTGGGATAATTTAAAAATTATTTTTTAAATTAAAGGTTATTTTGAATAACTCAAAATAATTAATAATAAAAAATAAAGTATTTATTTAAATAAATCTTTTAAATGAAATTTTTAAGAAAAATTGAAAGAGTCTTATTTTCTTTAATTATTTCCTAAGATAAATGATTTTTTTGAGATTTCATTGAAGAGTTGAGATAATCTTAGAATCAATTTTACAAATAAAATTCTTATTTAATTAATCACATAATTAATAATTATAATAATTTATAAATAACAATAATAATAATAATAATAGTAATAATAATAATAATAATAATAATAACAATAATATTCATAAATAATTTATTATACTTTAAACTATATAAGAATGAAAAATATCTCGTGATGAAGTTTTGGGAGCTCTATGAATGGTCAAAAAGTTGAAGTAAATAATAATTTTAAGGAAAATTTGACAAAAAATGATTAAATCTTAGAAAGTAATTATTAAGGAAAAAGTTTAATTTTTTCTTTATTTTTGTAAGTGAAATATTTCTTAAATATCTTTAAAGTGTTCAGATTATTCAAGGAATCATTTTGCTATGAATAAAATTATATAAATAATAAACATATAAAAAATAATAGATTGTTTAAATAAATCTTTTGAAATGTAATTTAAAAAAAAATTAAAAGAGTTCAATTTTCTTTAATTATTGCAACTAAAATATTTTTGAATTTAGCCAAAGTGTTGGGATAATTTAAAAATTATTTTTCTAAATAAAGGTTTATTTGAATAACTCAAAATAATTAATAATAAAAAATAAAGTATTTATTTAAATAAATCTTTTAAATGAAATTTGAAGTAAAATTGGAAGAGTCTTATTTTCCTTAATTATTTCCTAAGATAAATGATTTTTTTGAGATTTTATCGAAATGTTGAGATAATCTTAGAATTAATTTTACAAATGAAATTCTTATTTGGTTAATCACATAATTAATAATTATAATAATTTATAAATAATAATAATAACAATAATAATTGTAACTAATTTATTATACTTTAAACTATACATGAATAAAAAATATCTCGTGATAAAGTTTTGGGAGCTTTGTGAATGGTCAGTTTTCCCAAAAATATCATGAATAAAGATATTTTCTATGGATTCTACCAAACATTGGAGAATTTATAAATGTGCAAATAGTAGTAATTTTACAAAATAAAAAATGTATTTTATGAATAAATTTTTAAGGAATTAACTTTAAATTTTAAAAAGACCATAATATCAAAATTAAAAAATAACAGGTACTTAATTGATACTGCTTTTTGAGTAGGCGATGTAATGGTGCTAATATTTTTTTTACTCGTAACCGTACTCCTAAACTCAATCTTGATTTTGCTTCCAAAACGTCTTTTAGTAAATTTTAATTAATGTTAAGGTTTTTATTAAAAGGTAATATTTTTTGTGCCAATCACACTCGTAAAAAAAGATTAGTGACGATTCCAAAAATTTTTCACTAAATCTAGTGATTAAGTCCCTAGATGAAAAATTGTTACTACTACTTGGCAATTCTACTGAAAAGCTATGAGAGTCGACCAAAAATTAAGTGTATGTTGTCCAAACTTTGATCTTATGGTCTTTTTTATATATAAATTTAGTTCTCTTGTTTTTTAATAAAACTTGAAGTTCATAAAAGAAATTGATAGTTTTATTTAGGGTCAAAATGTGTCATAAGTCTCTATATTTTTTTTTTATTTTTAGGAATTCAGTCCTTCTAGTATTATTTAAATGAATTTAGTCCTTATAGTATTAGTTTTTAAGGATTTTAGTTCAATCATTAATAAAATATATGAACAAAATTCTTTAAAAAATAATACTATGGGGACTAAATTTCTTAAAAATAATATTACAAGAACTAAATTTCTTTAAATAATACTATAGTGACTAAATTCCTAAAAGTCGAAGAGTATAGGGACCTATAACACATTTTAACCTTTTTATTTAGTTTTTGTTATTTTTATGATTAATTATGTTATTTTGTTTATTTGGTTTATATGGTTGCTAATAAATTATGGAATATTTAGATTGTGGATTTTATTAATTACTGTTATGTTTCCTTGCACACGTGCACATTTGCATTCATGCATGAGCTCTACATTTATACTCTCAAATATGTCTTTTAAGGAGTAGTAGAGTACTTATGCTTTCATGAAGTTTTAATGTCACCTTTGGGCTAATGAAATACTTTTACTTAAATTGAACTTTTTTCCATCGATAGTCCATTATGAGTGCGGATCAA